CCCCCTGTGACCAAGGTGACCCTAAGCGAGCTGGATGTCTGCAAAATTATGCACAACCCAAAGTTGCGTCATGACATCAACTTTGACCCCGAGTTGCACTTCCGCCCTAATCTGGACGGCGACAAGGGCAAGAGGAAACAACACAAGGCAGACCTTTTCTGGAACACCCTTCAGGAGCAGCTCATCCAGTTCGTGAGCGAACCAGAGTCCTTCTTCTCTGCACACGGTCAGGATGATGACTGGTGCTTGCCATCTTTGTTGAAGGCGGTTAAGGAAATCATTCAGACTTTGGTGCCCCAAAGAGACAGAGTTTACTTGGATGAGGGCCTCAATGTCGATTTGCTGATGCAGCAGTTCTACAGGGGAATCGCAGACTTGGAAAAGCTTGCTCTGTGGCTATCTCGAGTTCTCAAATCCCACTGCGCTCCGATGCGTGACGAGTGGGTGGACCAGATGTACACACAGTTGAGCAACGGAAACCGGACCAACAACGTGGATGAGCTTGTCAAGGGCATGAAAAGTCTGCTCAGTGTTTTGGAGGCTATGAAGCTCGACGTTGCCAATCATCAGATTCGCTGCCTTCGCCCGATCCTTATTGAGGGAACCATTCCATTTGAGCGCAAGTTCTTCGAGAAAAAGATTCAGGGGAGCAAGCTGGACGTCACTCAAGCAAATGCCTGGTATAGGGATGCTGAGCAGAGATATGCTGCTTCTGTGTCTCCCATCGCAGCTCATTCCTTTGGGGAGATGTCTGTCTTCTTTGAAGCCATCTCTCGCCTGGTCTTGCCCTCGGTATCCGAAAAGGCGTTGCCCAACACCTTCATCTTTGACGAAGAGAGATTCGGCAAGCTCCGGGCGGATATGTTGGACGCCATCAACTTGGAGGTCTGCATGCGTATGTACGACGACCTCGAGAGAGTAGGCCGATTGAACGCCCCTCTCTTCGCCAGCTCCTTCTCACAGTTCGACGACGAGCCTCGCAGCCGCCCTCTTTCCATGACTCCCGACTTCAACTTCAACACTCCGCCCTCGCGGCCGTCGAGTCTCGCCTTTAGCTCCGGCGACTCTGCCACTTCATCGCCCCGATCTTCTCTCATCCTACCGCCTCAACCTACCTCCGATCCCACAGAATCTCTTGCCAAGGCTAGAGATGTCTACAACTCCTTGGTCGCGCTGCTCCACACCTCGCCGCCGCCGCGTAGGCACGAATCTCGCTGGGAGGCCATTGCTCCCTCGCTGGCCCTTCAAATCTTCCGATTCACCAACGCACCCGCCGACATGCTACCGGTCTTCGAGTCGAAGCTCGCTTCCCACGTTTGCGACATCAACAGCCCCTTGTTCCAAGAGGTCGAGGCGCACTTCCACCACAGGCTTCTGATGGAGCTCCAGAAGCGAGTGCGCGAGTTCCGCGGGCTGACTGGGGTCGGTCTTTTCACCGTGGCCACTGGCGGCCGTGCCCAAGGCTCAGGACGATCCATCGGCAGTCCCGACCGTGAGGGCTCGGTCTCCGACAGCAACCGTGAGAACCGGGATGACGGCGGAATCGAGGACATGGCGACTCGGCTGGCACACCTTGGCATCCTCCACTGGAGAGTTTTCGCCGGCCTTGCATACACTGAAGAAGAGCAGGCCGACAGCTTGATGGAAATGAACCAGTTCTGAGGCATTCAGCCTTCATCTCCCAACACAACTCCATTTAATCAAGGGATGCTGGTCTCAAAAGAAAGACGAGCGACCCGACACGCCCTGGCCCTAGCATAGGGTTTCTCTATTACGTCTGGCCGAACAACAATACCCCTTTTTACAGTTTTTTAATTTTGATATTGCGGCTATTTTTCACAAGACTCTATTTGGCTATGGTGGGGGTAACGGAACCTTTTAGACGGTGTTTGGGGGTATCAAAGCATCAAGCTCGCGAGCGCTCTTGCCGCAATGGATTACTTGGTTCGGCGTTGCATTGGGGAGGTGGTCACATCCAGATACATAGCGCACTTTGGGCATTGCTGAGACAGAAAACAAAGAGTAACATTTCGCCATTCACATTTTGCTCCACCTCTTTTGCTCGTTCTATCATGGATTGTATTATGTGATTGGCATGCTAGATTGTGGATTGTTTGTCTGTCGGCTGTGTCCGCTGCAAAGTTGTATCCGCATAAAGCAAGCAAGTGCCATTGTTGTTGTACAAGAAGAAAAGAAAGATAACGCTGGACCGGTCTTGAGGCAGCCACAATCACAATCACATGCGGATGCCGGGTGATAGCCAATCGGTGAGTTTTGCTTGCATATCGATCCGGGACGTGGATGTATGTCTCCCATGTATGTATCCTTTTCCTTTGGGAGTTTTTGACGGGGTTTTGGTGGTGTTTGTGATTTTGGGTTGTACGTGGTTATGGAGTACATTCCAGACGTCAGTCGGGGCTTGTACGGTGGTTGCGGTACGTTGGGTTTGCAATGATGGGGTTCGGCTGGTAAGTCTACCTCTTTTAGCAGATTCTCTAATGTTAGTATGTGTTCCATGTCATGCTTTGGTGATTATGGAAGAATAGATATATTCTCAAATTGTATTGATTGGTCGTCTTGTCTATGTCCTGTTTGCCCTTCCTTGAATGCCACATGTTGACAAGTGCTCATTCAAGAGGCGTTGTTAGAAATCTGCCACGGATCACTCATGATCTCTAGTTGAAGGGAGATTGTGACGATTGATAGATATTTTGCCAATACAAAATACGTTATTTAGGAATCGAAGCTGACCTTAGCAGATACACTCTCAGTCGAAGTAAACGGAATCAGCTGAATGTCTGAAGCACTGAAAAGGAGAGAAGACGATGAGAGGTCACGATGAATGACAGGAGCAAAAAGGGAGCTTTCGTTCTTCAGCAAGGTAGCGCGGCCGTACAACGAGGGCCTGTTGACCATTCACACTTCCCGACAGCATTCCCTTACTCGACGGACGACTATTCTGTCCAGTTCCGGAAAGGTCAACCATTCCGCGTTACCGGAGGCCATGAAGAGTTGTGGTTGTGGACTTGTTCTGGATAGCGGTTCAGTCAATGGGTCACGACCTCCACCACGCTCACTCGTGTCTTTTTGCTATTTGCCCTTTCTTTTGTATTCACGAGACGCGGCGACAGAGTTCCCCCTGAAGTCGAGGTTATCTACATGTCTTCTAGCCCTACTTTCATCTCTTGCGTATCGGTGAATAATTCAGAGCCTGACGTTCCAATCGCGGTACAATGTAGTGAGTATCAAAGAGTCACGTAGATAATTCCGAGTCGGGAAATGCTGGTTCACTCCAAGATCCTCCAACAGCGGGCCCAGTCATATCGAACTGCTGATCAAAGCTGCAATGCGTGGTTTGGAGGGACTTTTCGTGATATTGCGCGTGTGGCGTCTAACCGTACAAATCCACAAGGCCCCTATCGACGGTTTTCGGTTTCTTTCCTAACCGGTTGCTCATTGCTGGAAGGGACTGAAGACAGAAAAAGGACGTACGAATATTGCCTTCGAGACCTGTCACCAGGCTATCTTGTCGGCTACTATTCTATTACTTTGATATGCCAGTTGTTCTGGCCATCTCTCGAACGTTCACGCAGTCTATGTTGGCACGTGGGGTACTGGAGCCAACACGGTTTCCTGCTCTGGTGACTTGAGCTTTCTCCGGAGAAGAGAAAGATTGCCTTGTACTTTTTGGTGTCATTCTTCCCTGTAGATACAGATGAACTCTCTTTTACGTGTGTCGACTTCCGCCCCGTGTTCTTTTTTTTTTTTTGTTTTTTTGGCGTATGATCCAATAAGTTGTCTACTTCGTGACGTCGGTTTGGTTAGCACTGCTCTCTGATCTGATGCCAGCAGGTTAATGTATGCATCGATAGCAAGACATTAGTCGTGGGTATGGTGCTCTGTTTCATTGGAAAGACATTGTCTGATGGTGTTCCCATCGCCTCGACTATTTTTGTCTTTGAGGTTGCTTGTTGCTCCAACCAAGGTTCGATCAAAGTAGTATGAGGCGAGGTGGCAGGCGACGCGTGCGATTCGAAGACAAGGATACCAAAGATTAGGACAGACAGGACAAGATAGACACCAGTATTAATGCCGCGGATACGGCTGGTTCAGTCTCGATAGGTAATTCTCAGGCAGCCGTGGCGCTTCGGAAAATATGCGACGGTAGATGAATTTAATTAACTTCAATTTGAGACGATATTATGAACAGATTAAGGCTACAAACCACTAAAGAGTAATTACGTACGGAGATATCGCGACGGGTAAGCTTTTCTGCCTACTTACGTGGCCAGGATTACATGAACACACTTCAAGATTGAAGTCCGTACAGATTGGTAGCAAAAATGTATGTTTTATTACTTCATATCCAAGTGCTTCTTATCCAGAGACTTTATGTTCTCGATACTAAGATATATCGACGAGTAGTTGACGAAGAGCTTATCTATGGTCTTTTCTCCGGAATATGACTCAATTTTTGTTGCTGCTACAAATCTTACATCTCAGATGCAAAGCTTACGAACCTCGACGACTTTCGAGATCAGGACCGAGAGAAGTCGCCTACTGGGCGACGAGGGACCGTTGAAAGCGTACGAGAAGGCACTGGGCTGCTTCGAAGCTTGTAGTCAGAGACAAACCGTCGGTTTTAGAACTCTGAAAGTCATGCGTGGCACAGCCTACAAATGTACATGACGTCTAGATCAACGCCAGTGTTGGAACCGCAGTTGCCGTCGACGGTGGCGGAATTTCTTGCATTATTTCTACTGTCGCCGGACAGTACCCATATACTACTGATATCGTTATGCGGGTCTCATTGACCGTAGCCATATCCTCTTTCTTACGCCTGGCGCTGGCATCCATCTAACAAAGCAATGTTTCATTTCCCAGACCAACTCCAAACCATTTAACAAGTCTTTTCGTACCCCCATCGAGAGGGGTTCCGCTCGCGCGCATTCATACAAGGAGGGGTTGAGTGTTTAGTTGATGAGCATGGAGACCTATCGTTACCCAGTTAGAATCGCAGAGGGGAGTAGTTGGGGGAGGGAGAGTCTTGCCGCCATGACGACACAGCATAAGCTGATGTATGGACTTAACCGTTCGCCTACTCTTGCGAATTTCCAAAATATGCCCATGATACTGTCGAAACATGTTAGCAAACATGTTCCTACACGTGTGCGTGCCATTGGTTATCCTACCCGTCCTTGTTCCGGTCCATGATGGCGGGCATGAGCTGGTGCGCGTATGCGCATGTGCAAATGAGAAGGAGAATGACGAGGAGGAGCGACTGGAAGTTGAATAGGGCGGTCTGTGTCTGGGTTAGTACGACTATGGTATACTGAGCATGATCGCGGAGCTTGACATACCATATTTGCAAGTTTAGTCCCTCTTTGAGAGTGAGTTGGCGGCTTGAACGGGGAATTTTGCGTATATGGACAATCTAGCTTGACGGTCGCGATACAGGTGGCCTAGGGGTGCAGTTGTCTTCAGCCTCTCCTTGGTGGACAAGGTGGCCTGGAGAGTTTGTGCCACATGTGGCCTGAGCTTGGAGCTCTGCATCAGCCACGTTTGGATGTCGAAGCGCCACCCCCACAGTCAGCAGGGGTGCTAGACAAGGCCCAGAACCTGAGGCTCAGGAAGGTGCCTTATCTTATCGCAACCCTGCAAGCTGAGGTGCCTTCTGTTCTGTGCCGTGGAGTCTGTCACTCAATCCCAAGCACCAACCTACCTACCTACCTACCTAACTCTCAGCCTCTCCACGACGACTCTACCCTAGCAATCCGAACACTGAACCTACGCGCATCACGAAAGAGCCCTTGCGAATCCGTCCAGAGCGAATACAACGAAAATCAGAAACATCTTGCCCTTCACGATCGGATAATCAGGAATTACCTGTCCATCATGGAGCCTCGCGCCCGCGCCGCCAAAAATGTTGGCAAAATGAACTTCAGCCACAACGAGCGTATGTTCCTGCCTCTGTAGAACTCAGCGAAACCAGTCGCCGGGAAATGAAACTAATAAAGCTCGCATTCTGCAGTGGCTCAACTACTATACGCCCACGGCGACGTAAGGAATCCGCTCCCCGAAACGATTCGCGTGCTCGACGAGATCGTAACCGAGTTCATCCAAGGCATGGCCTTCGAGGCGACGCGCGCAGCCAACTACGCGGGAAGGCAGAAGGTCAAATACGAGGACTTTGAATTCGCGTTCCGCAAGAACGACGCCTTTCTCGGAAAGGTCCAGGAGGTCTTTGAGAAGAAGGGCGAGATCGAGTCGGCCAAGAAGATTTTCACAAAGGACGACGAGGCGGTGCTCATGAAGGACGCCGCGGACCAGGAGCACGGCAAGAAGGATAAGGCTGCCAACGGCACGGGCGAGGCTTCGAGTGCGGCGGACGCGGCGGTGAAGCAAGAGGAGGAGCTGGGCGAGGCCGACGACGACGCTGATGCCGAAAGTGAGGTCGCGGGACGACCGTCGAAAAGGGTCAGATTGGACGGGGACGGGAAGTGAGTTAACTTCGGGTAATACGGGTGGAAAGTACGGCCATTTGGGGCTCTTTTTTTTTCCCCTTGGGATGAGGCATAGCATTAGGCGTTTGTTGGATGGTGGTCTTGAGGTATTGGCTTTGATATCATCCTTACAAGGGGGGTCTGGCTTAGGAGGGGCCAAAAAGCATCATATTCACGATAGTCAAATGGACATTCATCAATTTTTGGAAGACTTACTGCGAAAGGCAGTTGATTTCTCCTGGGAATAGCAACTGAGTTTCGGAGACTAGCCGAAGTCTGGTAGATATGAGCCAGGTACCCATGCATGTTGACCGATATCTTGTCTAACGACCAAGCATCAAGGGCTTTCAGTCGGATCATGTAGGATCATCTATTTACAGATGCTATGTATTGCTGTGACCGAGTTGAGAGAAAGTCATTTGATAAGGCCATCGAAGTCTGGTCGAATAAGACCACCTCTTGGAATTGTATTGCTTTGGACGTTCGATCTACAGCTTAGCAGAGACAGTACTGAAAAGTCGATACGAAAATCATCAAGGTTCAGCCGCTTGCATGTTTCGACATGCATTCGAACGGCTTAAACTTTAAAGTTTACAAGCAACCAGAAACACGGGTTTCTGGCATCTGCCCGAGTCATCCAACCCCATTTGCTCCGAATCGGTGCCGGGTCCGCCGCTGTCGGTGTTTGTGCGAGTGGATCCGCGCCGAGAAAGTGGGCTGGTTCAGCCCCCCGGCAAACGACATCCGGCGCATTTCTCAGTGCCTTCCCTCTCTGGCAAAACCTGGGAACATGGTGTGGTTGCGATATCGGGGGGGGGGGGGGGGGAATTCCCTAATCAGTCTACAGGTGACACCCAGCGATGATCATACTGTTTCTGTTTTCTCGGTGTCGGCGGCGCATCAGCGGAACAAAAGGGCGCCCTTGCCAGCGGGTTGACGCCGGGCTAGCGGTAGCGGGGGGTTGGTTGGTTAGTTTCTATCGAATCCTCTGGGCGTTTCTCAAGTGGGTTGGTTCATGACCATTCGATGCTGGGGGATTCCCACTCCGCCCACAGCTCTTTTCCCTCCTCTAGCGATTCGCATTGCTGCATTCGCCAACACTGACTTGACTGACACACTTGGAGGGATTTCAGAGGGGGTCATCTTCTCACGCATCTGCCACTAACACCCAGTAAAGAGAAGACGGGCACGACGGGATGCATGGGTGGGAGACCTGATGGTGGGCTATGCAGGCACGCCAGGCAGCATGTGCCCACGCCGCCGCACGCAATCAACACATTTTGCACATCGATACTCCTCCGCTCCCACCTCCGCCCCCGTCTCCGCCCTGGTGAGGAACTATCCCGAGTGACTGACTGAGTAACTGACAAGCAGGGCCCCATACACTACTTTACTCCAGCCTCCCCACTTCCGATGAACGATGGAGAGTCCTTTTGGTTTCTGTACCCTTTGTCTTTCCCTGTGACTACACCCCGCTTCAATGCAGGGTCGAAAATTCCTGTCTATCTCTGTTCAAGTGAAGAGTTCATTCTTACACACGCCATTTTGAATATCGAGTGAGCTGGCCGAGATCACTTCTCGCACCGGAGATATAGCCTACTTACGTACGCCAGCCCTACTGCCTCACTCTCCATGGCTTTGGACCTATAGACATGACATCACCTAGCCGCCATGTCCGAACAGAAGCAGAACCATGATAACCTATTCGTTCCTCGAAACACCGAGGCCAAGTTGAGGTCTGATGGAGAACCAGAACACACTGATGAAGCCAGTCAGAGGTTATCAATAGACAGCAAGATGTCCTGGCCACACGACCATGGGAAGGGACTCTCAGCCCTACCAGATCCAGATTCGTTCCGCAGATTCTCCACGAGCCCGTTCCAGAATGGGAGGATGTCACCGTTACCAGGGGCAGAGTACCCTCCAACAGTATTACAGAGTTCTCAAAAGAATACGAAACTGGCGGCGTTCTGGCAGACCAACAAAGGCGTCGTCTTGGTGGCATTATCACAACTATTCGGTGCTCTGATGAATCTCACAGCAAGGCTCCTCGAGCTCGAAGGCGAAGGAATGCACCCACTCCAGGTGCTCTTCGCCCGGCAAAGCGTCACGATGGTCTGTTGCTGCCTCTACATGTACTACATGAAGACGCCCGACTTCCCCTTTGGAAAGAAGGAAATCAGATGGCTCCTCGTTGCCAGAGGCGTGACGGGCTTCTTCGGCATCTTTGGCATGTGGTACTCGATGATGTATCTCCCCCTCGCCGAGGCCACCGTCATAACCTTCCTGGCCCCCAGCGTCGCCGGCTACGTGTGCTATCTCGCCCTCCGCGAACCGTTTACCAGAAACGAGCAGATCGGCACCGTCATCGCCTTCTTCGGCGTCGTCCTCATCGCCCACCCGACCTCGCTCTTCTCCGGGGACTCGACGTCCACGGCCGCCGCCACCGCGCCGGAAACCCCGGGCCCGAATAATGGGACGATGACTTCGACGCTGCCGGGACTGAACCACCAGGCTACGACGGCGGAGCGGCTAATGGCCATCGGGGTTGCGATAGTGGGTGTGTTCGGCGCCGCCGGAGCATTCACGACAATCCGGTGGATCGGGAAGAGGGCGCACCCGCTCATCTCGGTGAACTACTTTGCGACGTGGTGCACCATCGTCTGCACCGTCGTGCTCACCACCGCGCCCATGCTCGAGATCGGACAACCCGCCCTGCGATGGGGTCTACCACAGACGGGACGGCAGTGGCTCTTCCTCGTGCTGCTGGGCGTGTTCGGGTTCGTAATGCAGTTCCTCCTCACGGCGGGGCTCGGCACGGATCGGTCGAATAGGGCGAACGCCATGGTGTATACGCACATGCTCTTCGCGGCAGGGTTCGACCGGTTCATCTTTGGCAACGTCATGGGGTGGATGAGCCTTGCGGGCTGCGGGCTGATCATCGGAAGTGCGCTTTGGGTGGTGCTGACGAAGAGAGCACCGGCGCCCAAGAGGGAGGCGGATGTGGAGGTTGCCAACGTGCGGGATACGGAGGCTGTGCCGATGTTGGCTGATATGGATGGTGGAAGGGACGAAGATTTTGAGCTTCAGAGAGTGAGGTGATGATGTTTCACGGCTTACGATGTATGATGTTTGGATCTAAGCCAATAAGATGAAGAAAAGGGACTCGAGAATTAGAGATACTGGCCAGGCCAACTGGCCTGCGGCATTTGATAGACGCCCACAAAAACGCGTCTTGGGTAAATTGTACCGATATCCTTTACGGAGCAAGGTATTAGACATTGGCACTTCACAGAATATGAGTCCTTAACATGCAGTGTTTACTGATTGCCCATATCGGCAAAGAGTTCAGAGCTCCCCCGAGAATAGAATGAATGATGGAGCAGGAGACTTCAAGGTATGTGGCAGCGAAGCTCTGGACTAAGAGAGAATACAGGTAGAGCACAAGCTGGACAACACTCTGCTCAATCCTATCTCACCACGCAATCGATCGAAAGAGCCTATCGAAGGACATTTGTGCTTGTGGTCTGGGGTCGGTAATTAGATTGCTTCATGAGCTCGGGCGAAGGGGCAGACCCTCTGCCCTGAGAAAGTAGCTTGCCAGAGCCACATCTCAGGACATCGTGTGTTTGTAATACAGCCTAATTCACCGAGAGCTCAATTCATCTGTCACGGGAAGCCGAACTTCGGCGATCATCTCCGAGCATCGTCGATGGGCCTTTCACTCGACCGAGACCTTGGTTTCTCACGAACGACGTCACAGGGGATTCTTTAGGGGACTTTCGAGAAAAGGCACCGAAACGTGTCGCCAAGCCAAGGGGGTGACACTGACGGCTTACGCATCCAAGGGGTGACTTCAGGATTCCAGCACGGCGGAACGCTGTTTGTAGACGGATTACACTGGTGGAGAGGGTCTCAGTGAGACAACAGTCTCAACATTCCCGAACGCGGGAGCAAAACTGTGATTGAAATTAGCATTTGAGTCAATTTGACCTGAGCACATGGGGTTTGACGTTCCCGATCGCACATCATGGTCCGATGAGAATTTCTTCGCTTTATGAGAGACATGTTGTGCAACGTCAAATATTTTCCCTTCTACAGCATATTTGAAAAGTGCCAGCCGCTGTTGAGGGTTGGAGCGTTTGGCGAAATAAGAAGAAGCTGCTTCTGTCCGTGTATTGCGTGTTGATCCAACATTTGTGTACAGCATTTGGTACGGTGGCCGGTCCTTTACTCAATCATTTCGTTGTCATAAATTGTGAAACAAATTTGCATAGTTTCCTAAGCATCAGATCAACATGAAATTCTAAAATATTGGTTAAGTGCGTGAGAACAAGCTGAAATGATCTGGGTGAAGTTGAATGAGGCGCAAACGGGAAGCTATCCACAGGTCACGTGTGGGGCAGCCGATTCCTAATGTGTAAGTCGGCGCCTGCACTGTGCACCTGGAAGTTTGCAGGGATAGACTGAGGCGCGTCGCCCCGAAATCTTTTGGAGCTTCATCCAATTCTGTCTGACACCAACCACCCACCCCCAAGGCCAACGATCCATCACGACCGCGACATATTTGCTGACACTCCGATCAATTTTCCCATACACGATTGAATTGTTGATACCGCACGAATTGACCGCCGGCAACCGACGCTTCCGCCGCGAAGATGGTCCAAATCAGCGAGGTTAAGGGAAACAGTCGCGAGAACCGCACGGCTGCCCACACCCACATCAAGGGACTGGGATTGAAGCAGGATGGCACAGCAGAGAAGCAAGCCGCTGGCTTCGTCGGCCAGTCGACGGCAAGAGAGGTGCGCTGATGATTGATGGCCACAACCTCATACCAAGGCAATCACTAACTTCGCGACAGGCAGCTGGTGTTGTAGTTGACCTTATCAAAGCACACAAGATGGCCGGCCGCGGCGTTCTGCTGGCTGGTGGACCCGGTACAGGAAAGACGGCTCTCGCTCTCGCCGTCAGTCAAGAACTCGGAACCAAGATCCCCTTCTGCCCGATTGTCGGCAGCGAAATTTACTCGACAGAGGTGAAGAAGACGGAGATGTTGATGGAGAACTTCCGCCGGGCCATCGGCTTGAAGGTTCGGGAAACGAAGGAAGTGTATGAAGGCGAGGTTACGGAGCTTACGCCTGAAGAAGCCGAGAACCCTCTGGGCGGATACGGCAAAACCATCAGCACACTTCTGATCGGCCTGAAGAGCGCAAAGGGACAGAAGAAATTGCGTCTGGATCCCAGCATATACGAGGCCATCCAGAAGGAAAGGGTTTCAGTGGGAGATGTCGTCTACATCGAGGCGAACACGGGCGCTTGCAAGCGCGTGGGAAGATCAGATGCCTATGCGACCGAGTTCGACCTCGAGGCCGAAGAATACGTCCCCATTCCCAAGGGCGAGGTGCACAAGAAAAAGGAAATCGTGCAGGATGTGACGCTACACGACCTCGATGTTGCCAACGCGCGGCCCCAGGGTGGTCAAGACATCATGAGCATGATGGGCCAGCTGATGAAGCCCAAGATGACTGAGATCACGGACAAGCTGCGCGGAGAGATCAACAAGGTGGTGAGCAAGTACATTGATCAGGGTGTTGCGGAGCTCGTGCCGGGTGTGCTCTTCATCGACGAGGTAAGAAATCTTTGAATGTCTGGCGTAGTTGATAGGGAATCGTGGATTAATCATTTATGACAGGCACACATGCTCGATGTCGAGTGTTTCACGTACCTGAACCGGGCTCTGGAGTCCCCCATTGCCCCGATTGTCATTCTGGCATCAAACAGAGGAATGGCCACGCTTCGCGGCACGGATGATATTGTCGCGGCGCACGGCATTCCGGCAGACTTCTTGACTCGCATGCTCATCATTCCAACCACGCCGTACCAGGCCGATGAGATCAAGCGTATTGTTCGCATCAGGGCCACCACCGAGGGTGTGCCTATTACCGACGCTGCCCTGGACAAGATCGCGGAGCATGGCGTCCGCATCAGCTTGCGGTACTGCCTGCAGCTGTTGACACCCGCCAGGTGAGTCTACGGTGAACCAAACCATGACAACATTGCCCTGTTTCCCACCGCCTTTGCTTCATCCCTAAAGCCATTCCCCCATCCCCTCTCTGTTGTGGACCATGGATCGACCGGCTAGTGTGAGACAAGTGAGCTAACCCCAATGAAAGCATTCTTTCCAAGGCAAACGGCCGCAGCCAAATCGACGTCCAGGACGTGGCCGAGTGCGAAGACCTCTTTTTGGATTCGCGGCGCAGCGCCAGTCTCTTGAGCAGCGAAAGCGGCAAAGGATACATTTCGTGAGACGAGTGCAAGAGGTGATGGTTGGACGATACGCGAGGAGAAGTCATAGAGCCCATGTCGGCTTCTTTCTCGAATGAAGGATGGCGGCGGCGTTGTAAAAAAGAACTTGTTACAATTATCGAGACCAACAGGTATTCCATGGAGTTGTTCTTTGACATGAAATATTCATCTGGGAGAGAGGACCAGTCATCTGTCGACAAGCGGTCTGGGGGACTCGACTGTATGTGTTTGAATCGGAGTACGAGTGTGGTTAGACGACATGGCGCACGCCTTGGAACTGTGAGCAAAGGCATTGAATCCTTTTCACGTTATCCCACTTGGCTTGACTGGGCATCCGGAGGTTTGGATTGTGAAGAAGAGAGCGCGCTGTTTGCAAAACAAAACGACTGTCAAGCTTTCCAGATGAGGAAAAAATAGAACCGCCCATCCCGACAGTCTTGAGACATTGCAGGCCGCGAACCATAAAAACGCAAGTTTAACGAGAGACAACCCACGCACCGCCAATGCCAGTGCCAATGCCAGTGCCATTCTTTCCTAACAATAACTAGATGGAAAATGTCCTTCACCGCGTCTTGTCTTTTTTCCTGGCTGCTCTCCCAGAGTTCCCGTTCTGAACCCCGGCTCCCCCTCCCATCCGTCCGTACTTTTGCGTCTGTCATCAGAGACATCACCAACGCCAAACGCATTGTGTCCTGCCGATCAAATTTTAAAATTTCTAGTATCCAACAGACAGAAGAATGAAGCAGAGGAATTTCCTCATGGGCCCAGCTTATCCGCCCTTTCCCTTCTTTTCATCACGTGGGAGATGTGCCCAACCAACCTAGCCTAATTTCGGCCGGGGGTTGAGTGAGGAGAGGGAGGGGGGCAGACTTCTTTACATTGTCTTTGTTCCTTTACCGGGGCGGGCTTATGATTGAACATTCCAACCGGGGAACACAGCGCTCTCGTCCTCTCTGTGCATTCATTCCTTTACTGCCGCCTTTAATCTTCTGCCCCCGGTACACAGTCCTCATTCTGATCCTGGCCACACCCATCCAAGGGTCATTGTTTCTGACGTCCACCCCCAGCCCATGAGTCTGCAGTCGGTCTGCGGCTTCTTTTGAAGAGAGGGACTGGTTGGCAAAGCAGGGGGGGGCAAGGAGGAAGAGCCCAGTCGCGGCGGCAGAGACAGCGGCTGCTGCATTAGTAGCAGCAGCAACACATGCGGGATGGGCATTGTAGATGGTCTGGGCTTGACTGCATTGCTGATGACATGAAAGGAAAGAAATGCCTAAAATAACATGGGGGGGATGAGAAATCCAGACTGCTTTGAGCAGCACATAGCCTTCCTCGTCTTTCATCCAACCAGGGTAAACCTCTACCTATCCTCACCAAACAAGACTTGAAGTTGAATGTGGAGGGATATTCTTCAAAGTCGCGTCTCCGTGTCTCGTTGTTGTTCATACCTTTGAGTCATTATTCATCTTTTTGCGTCCTCGTCTAGGTCGCTCTTGCTACCGCCGCATCCTTTCCCGCCTTTTACGGCTCCATCTTCGGACTTGGGGACCCGAAACTTGCCTAATTCTTGTTCTCAAGGTCTGAGGGCAAGAAAGGCATTTGCCCATTTCTTGGCCTATACTCTGTCTCTCCGTCTCCAACGCTCTATGCGAACGGAACGCCTGGGCGAGTCCTAAAGAAGAGAGAGACAGACATAGACGACGCGGGCACCGGTCACCACAGGGCAAACGCTTCTTCACAAAGAAGCCCATTTCCCTCATCTGCAACAACCTTGGGTCTCCGGCACATTCCCGAGACACATTTCCCACCCCCCAAAGGATCAACATCTCTCTCTCTCTCTCTCTCTCTCTCTCTCTCTCTTGCGAGCTTGCCCTTCTTACTTCTTTTCCGTTTCCTGACTTCAGTTCGTCCATCCTTCCCGCCTCTCCCTTTGCTCACCACTCAGATCCATCTCCTTCCCTGCTCAGAGCCGTCGGTTAACCGTCGTCGTTGACGCTGGTCGCTGTTCGTCGCTGTCGTCTCGACGACATCGTACCAACCGCCCTGCCTACCCTGATGTTCTTTCTTCCCCATAATGGCCACCTCCATCTTTGAACATAAAGTCATTGAGTTAGACAGTCATTGTCTGCTCGGTTTCTGCTGAATGAGAAGTCGTCGTCTTGATATCACAAAGGAGAAGGGGAAAAAGGTCGGAACGAACAATCGGCCATCGAACAAAAGTGATCTCGGCCCCGTCTCGTCTCGTTCCAACTTACCGATATACTGCTTCGCCTGTCTCTCGCACGTCTGTCAAATCATTGCTGCCTTTCCTGCTCGCCCAAGTCCACAACTACACGGATTCGCCAACACTCTTCGAACCCTAACTCAACCCTAGCATCCCGTCGTGTCTCTCACCATTGACAACGTACATACACCCCCTGTCTCTTCTGCTTCTTCAAACGCCCCCCTTTCCGAAGCATGGTGTAAGTCCAAACGTCTCATAGCTTCGAACGCCTCGCCCACTTGTCCCCAGTCCCAACTCGCATCTGTTTGCACACCTCCTGCAAACCCTTACAACCCAAAAGATGACAGATGTGGTCTCTACGCCTCGGCCACGGCGGTCAACCTCTTCCTCTGGTGGCATCTCTGCCCATTCGGCCATGGAACGAAGAGCGAGCCAGGAGACGGACGAGGGACCAAACTCTGCAGGCTCTGCTGGCAGTCGCGCGAGCAGAAAGCGCGTTACGTCCATTGATATCGAGGAAGCGAACACCTCTAAAGTGAGAAACCTCAGCTTGGAGACCAGACCGATGAGTAGCCAGAGCGGCAAGGATACCATCTGTCTCTGCACGCCCGGACTCAAGATCCCAAGGCCTCGCAACCGTGAGTCGCACATTTCCCGCTCTTCATCCCACATCGTCGGTCGACACATATTCGTCACAGGCCTGATCTGAGACCGGCCTCGGGGGACTCTTCTTTGTTGGACGATCCAAACAGACTGCTGGGCACTTGTGTAATGCCCGTTGACTGACGTTGTTCTTTGACAGCCTTCATACTGTATAGACAACACCACCAGGCTACCGTCTCCAGCGAATTCCCAGGCCTTTCCAACCCAGATATATCCAAAATCATAGGACAGCGGTGGAAATCACAGGACCCGCGAGAGAAGGAAATTTGGAGGCAACTTGGAGAAGAGGAGAAGAGACGGCACGCGGAAGACTACCCAGATTACCGCTATCGGCCTCGTCGGGGTAGATCTAGGAGTCAAACAGGATCGTCAGCCTCGACTAATCCAGGACGGTGCCCCAACTGTGGTGGCAGATTCATCGCAACGCCGAGAACGCCGTCAACACCAGCAGGCACACCGACAGTCGCAAAACCAAAAATGCAGCCGCATCACCCGAGCGAGGCTCGCAGCGGGGACAGCGATCACCTTCGGCGTGCTTTACCTGGAGAGAAACAGCCCTACCAACACCAACACAACAACTTGCGGGACGTGGAAGAAGAATACGAACCAATGTCGCCATCCCCCGAGCTCAAACGACGCCGAATCAACCCCTCTACGGGATATTACCAGGCAGTTCCTTCATCCGGTCCATACACAGGCCATCCTCTATCGAGGCAGCCTAGGTCATCGGTGAGTATGCCTCCTACGCCGCCTATCGCCGGCTACGGGCCTTTGCCCGGTCCATCATCACTCGCGAGGCCCGGGTATAGTAACATGGCGCCCCCTCCTCCACGACCGCCCCATCCGGCGAACGCGGGGCCAAGCCGCGGCCCGGGCTACGATGAGAGTCTTCGACTGCCGCCCCTCCAGACCCAGTCGTCTCCGCCAATCAACAGAGACAACGATATAAGCGACCGCCCGAGTGCACACCCAATGACTGGCATGGGCATCGCAAACCCGAGAGATAGATATGCTCAAAGCCTCGAGGCCATGATCATGACGATTCCTTTCTGGAGCAAGCTGAAAGTCCTGCAAAAGATCAGCCCGACCTTGGCTCCGCCGGGACCGGCCAGTCCTGAAATCGAGATTCGCGGCGCAGTCGTTGCCGTTGAAGGGGCTGATCCTCGACAGCTAGAGCAGGTGGGAACGGCAGTGCATCGGTCTCTCCTCGGCTTGAGCGAGATTGATCTGAAGACGTGGAGCGAGGGACCGAGTACGCCGTTGTCTGGCCTGTCGGCCGAAGATGACGCAAGGATGAACGACACGGCCTCTGCTGGCGGCAGCAGCAGGAAGAGCAGCCATTCGCAGCCCAACTTACACGCCTCGGAGCTGTTCTCTAACTATATGGAGAGCATCCTGAAGTGGCATGTGAAGTCGCGAGAGATCATCAAACACGTCTCCACTAAGCCGACTTTCGCATCGAATCCGCCTCCGCTCACGAGGCGGGCATCGGAGGGGGAGGGTGTCGGGTCTCGACATAGTTCGATATCGGTACCCAGCAAAACACCAGTTGCGCTGCTCCCCGCGGGATTCAGTTTGACTCTATCAGACAAGTACGCTTGCACATTGCCCATCTATGATTGCTATGCCCCAATCGACCATTGGCAATGGGTATCGACTTTGTGGAGGGGAATCATTGGACCGGACCTTGTCATCTACGTCAAGTCAGTGACTGAGGAGGAAATCACTCACGCAGGTGCAGTTGAGTTCCGAGGCCACGGTGTGATGGTGGTGAGAGTTGCGCATAATAAGCCATTGGACGAGAAGACTGAGCGACGCATCTCTTTTGAGTTGGTGGAGTGGATTCGAGGAGGTAGCTATCAGGAGGGATTCGGGCGAGGTTGAGATGGCTACAAAAGCAGACTTAATAATGTGATGATTTTCAGCGGGATGCGGTGACGGATTTCCTTCTTTTCGGATTGAGACACACTATTGATTTTTCTTGACATAGCGTAGGCGTAGATAGGCAACCAAAATACTGAGCAAAGGTATTGAGTCGATTATTGGACAGCGCGTGCTTCGAGTGAGTGCATCTGAACGCCCAAATAGGTCAAACGATATCTCCCTGCGTTGTGTCGAGAGCCGATCTGCTACGCCCTGACTACTTTACAGAGTGATGCATTGCATGGGCGTTTTGCTGAAGGGAATGAGACAATGTCGCTGTGTATTTCTTTGAAGCCCGTTTGCTTTGTGTTTGAGGCAGCATTGTTGTCGTCTACTACCCGTGTCTTCTTAGTAAGGCCTTATAATGGATGTCGGTCACTTGTGCACAGTACTGGTGTATGAAGTTATCCATTAGGAAGTCTCGCTTAAGCTCTTAGCGGAAGACCCTGAGATGCGAGGCAGAAATTAGCCAATCAGGCACTGACT